TGAGCGCGTGGGCTGGCAGCGGAGCCGCCGAGGATTTGCCGAGGCACGGGCTCGGCGCGGGCGGACGTCGCTAGCCGCCTAGCCAGGGCTGCAAGCGAGATGTCGAGTTTTTTTGGTAAGCGGGGACTGTGCTCAAGGAGCTCGGCCTCCCCGCTGCGTTCCTTCAGCTCTGGAAAATTATCAACGGGAAGCTCTTGCATAAACATAAGTAACCTCGCTGCACCACCAAACACTGTTTTATGTAACATGTAATCCTGTGAACTCCCTGCTCCTGCTGACAGGGTGAAGTACAGCAATACGGGGGGGCACTCAAGTGGCCATTAAGGTACAGGGAAATGTAAAATGTTTTCAGTTCCTCAGAAGTGTGTGTTGGAGCTATAAAGTCCAAGACCATCATTTGGAGTTGCACATCTGGATGATCCATGTTAGCCATTAAGGAAATTGCAATTATAGGCATAATTACATTTTTAAACACGATAAAGGACTGTGCAGTTACAAAGTTCAGTTTGCAAAAGTTAGATAAACTCGTGTGTTATGAAGCATGCAGGGCCACACACATAGGACTTACTTTGGGAACCCAGTCTAAGTTTTCAGCAGCTTAAGGTACATGGTTTCAATAGCAGAGATAGGCAAAGAAAGTAGGCACCACTCTTGTCTTTTTTTGACCGTATATATGATGCTTGTTTCTCTGAATCTCTTTGCACCGACAAAGGACTAGCGCTCAAGTCTCCCTCTTTCTCAGCAGTCTGTGTAAGTATTCGGTGCTCACACAAAAGGTGCTTCCCGCCACGGAGTTACAACTTTTGAATTCAGCACTGTCTGCATATGCTAGACATGTTGTGTGTGAAATGAGATTTTTCAGAGGACAAAAGGATACATTTTCACAAAGGTATCCTCTTCAGTGATCGCCCAGCTAAATGACAAACCTTTTCACCAAATCTGAAAATGCTTGTTCTTCTTTGAAAGAATTTATTTGGACACTAGCAACCCAAGGCGATTTTAATTTAGTTCTTGCAAATGGCTGGGACTTTTTGACTGAAGCGTTCTAAGTAATTCGTCCTGATTCTAATGCTCAAAATGAAGACTTCTGGCCCAGAAGGGAACAGCTTGGCAATAGCGCAAGTGACAGCACGTTATTTCCTCTAATGGAAAATGAATTGCAACCTGAACTACAGCTACATCCTATGATGTCTGTAAGTATATAATTGTAAGCAATATGGAAATAGTTTTGTGATTGTCACCTACAAAGTGCAATCAGCAACCCAAACTATACAGCCTAGGCTGCTATAATGATGTTACATAAAGACATTCACTGTGAGCAGAGCAGATGTTCGGCTTGTGCGAGTCCTGTGTACAGGCTGAGATAATGTATGGATGAGACCACACTCACTCTTCTTCTTCTTTGTCTCCCAGGCTCCACAGTCCTCTAACGCTGTCCTAACAGCACAGCGCTTTCACCATCATGCACCCACATATGTCCCTGTCCCAAGGCATGTGACACACAGCTTCAGCTTCACGCTGTAAAAATGCCACTGTTGGACTGCAATGCAGCCCATGCTATTTCAGATACTTTAGAAAGGTGGGGGAAAATATATGTATATATCTTACATGAAAATATACGTATATGTCTTAAGGATATCACATGAGGCCCAGAGAGGAAATAGGGCCAAGTGCTACACAGAGTGAACATGGGCAGTCTGCTCTTCAGAGACCTATCACCAGCACCACGGATGTGAGCCACTGTGCACAACTTGGCCTGCAGTTGGGGATCCCTTGTTCAGGTGGATGTATTTAGCAATGTAGAAGTAGCATCTGAGTTTGTTAGACAGGCGCTCCATGAATGCAAAAAATTCTCAAAGCAAAAAAAAAAAAACTGGAGTGTTGTGACTGCGACCCTCTAAATAGTAAGGTTTTTCATACAATAACTAATTCAGACTTTCACAATTTCTTAAAACACAGCAGCTGGTGAAAAATGCCTCTCTGCACCCCACCTAGATTAATTGAAAATTATACCTAGAGTTGATCCATCTTTGTTCTGTTAAAGAACAGGGAGTTTTAAGCAAAGTTTTAACTACCTCCCAAAACAAAAGAAATGTTGAAAATACTCATTGCTGTGAAGGGCTCTGTGCTATACAGTGTTTCAGCATGTTTCATGTTTTCTTCCCAAGGGACAGTTCCAAAAGGTAGACAGGGTACTCAAGAGCTGAATAGTGACTGTCTATCATACAAGATGTTTAAGAGCAACTTCAAGGCCATCTTGCCAAGCTCTTCTATTATCATTTTTTGGAGAGGCTAAAATCTCTGCCTTAAGGACAACCAGCTCCTTTGCTGGCTTCTTGTAGGAGATCTGACAGCCTGTTGTGCCTTCTTTCCTTTCCTTGCAGCTACCAATTTTCTAATTAAGTCTCTGTGCCTGCCCCGTTAGTCAATCAGAACATCACCACTGATTGCAATGGGAACAGGAGCAGGCTTTAAGGGCCACACTTGCGGAAAAGCTAGCATCTATAATTGGGGCCAGGTTTTCAAAGGAGGTGGCAGCCACATGTGAGCCACTGTCATGACCAGAGCCACTGAGAACCGAGCATTTGCCATGCTGGCCTCAGCTCTGGATGCTGAATGCTTGAAAACTCCTACTTTAGAAACTAGTGCTGCCCCAGTGAATATAATTACGATGAAGAGATGTGAGCAGCTTGGGAGAGGCAGTCAGTGGTCAGAGAGGAACATCTAGACCCTGAAGTCTTAGGGATGCATCTATCAGGGACGCTGATAGCAGGGAGAGAGAAGAAAAAGCTGCTCATCTCGGTAGCGGGGGGGTCCAAGTTGTGAAGTGTGTAACGTGTTTTTGAACAGTAGGACGTTTTCTTTGTTGCACGCTCTTACACCCAGGACACTGCTAAGTTTGCCAGCAGCTGTCATCAGCAGTGTCATTTTTCAACGAGCAGTCAGGCTTTCCCGAGACCAAATGGCCTTTTGTTCTTGAGAAACAAATGTGGCTGTGTGTCATCAGCTCAGCTCAATCACTCCTTTTTACTCAGCAACCAATGAAGGAATCTCTTCCTTTGCCTTATCAGCAGTACAGGTTTGCTCCCTCTGCTTGAGGCCCCTGGTCTCTTCCTGGTCTCTGAGAGTGTGTAGGACCTCCCAGGGCCAGGCATGTCCTGGCAAGGAGAGGGACCACCGAGGGTCCTCCCAGAGTGGGCAGAATGGACTGGGAACAGGAGCTAAATCTTATGAATTCATCTTGTACATCATGTCAGGTAGATTTATACACTTTAGTGTAAACTGCTTTAAAAACAATAGGAGCTTTATAGTTGATTTTCATCTCAGAAAATAAAAATTTCAGTCCGTAAAACCTCAGTTTTATGCCAATGATTGAAAGATGATCTCGATGTCCTTACAGCAGACGTCAGGCTTGAACACATATGTGGCTGTTGCTGTGCAGTAACAGTAATGCGCTAATACTTTCTTCAGCTATCTATTTCTCTTCTTAGTGCTTTTCTCTGACTATAAGTAATCAACCTGCCTGAATTCCTCATTTGGGAGCCTCCCTGTTCAGCTCATCCCCTTCCCATGCAGATGGAGGGTCTGGCTGGTGCTCTAGCAGTGACCCAGGATTTCTGAGTGATGCTCCGAAGGTCTGGGATGAAGCCTGGGCTGTATGGGGGCAGCAGGAGTGGGGGGGATCTGAAGAGAGCAAACCATGGCTATTATGTATCACCTTGGAGTATTATGTTTCTCTGAGCCCTACTCCTGCGTTTGTTTTTCACATCAAGGCCTCAACAAATTCCCCTTGGAGTTAATGGGGAATCCATTAACCGAAAGGTGGTGGATGTGTACTACCACACAAGCAGGGCAGCATACAAACTTCAGCTTATATCCCTGTTCTACATTGTGTTCAAATGCCAAAGGAGCGGACTGAAGTTTTGTGTCTATGAGTAGTCCAGGAACCAAAGAGATATTTAAAACTTACCCATGTAAAGCTATGGGGCCAAACTTTCCCCCCACCCAAATAATCACCAGGACCCTTTATTAAAAGCCTTATTCCACCAGCTATTGGAGGATTTTTTCTAGAAGTTCATTAAAAGTAATAAAGCAACTCTTTTTTTGATGTGCTGTTCTTCTGGAAATAAATGGAACTTAGTGATGTTAAATACATGCAAAAGTAAAATAGCAATACAAAG